TTTAGAAAGCATGGAGCGGTTCCTTCGGCAACGTACACGGGAATCTACAAGAAAGGTAGACATCAAGGGAATGGGTGCTATTCAAAAAGAGGTGCCCCACAGTTTTACCATGGCAAAACTAAGCAGTCTACAGTGTTACCCAGCACGCTGTTGGCATTGTCGTAAACAAACAAGGGCAAGATTCCTGCCGAGAGAATTAATGTAGGTATTAAGCATGCTAAGCACTCTAATGTGGGTATTGAGCATATTAAGAACAGAAAGAGCATTCAGAACGTGTGAGGGGGAACGATCATAAAAAGAAAGGTGAAGAAAAAGGTATCTGGGTTCAACGGAAGTGCTAGCCTATTTGATGCAGAGAACCCACTTTGTGAGAACCAGCAGAAAAGAAGCCTGAACTGCTGGAACCTATTCCTTATGAAGTCATGGCCTAAAATAAAAATAACTCTGGACTATAAACAAAATAGATAAATAAAAATATATAATACAGATTCTCAGGCCTCAACACCCAGTCTACTTATGTGTGGGATGGGATTGGGTAGCTACAGCAAATGCTACGGCATTCTAAGGAGGGAAGGTGTTAAAGGGATGATTTGGGCTGCATTTTGAAAGCTGGGTAAGATCTGTATATGTGGGGAGTTGGGGGAGTCACAGTCCTGATTACCCAAGCAGTGTATTTGGTGGGGTTTGTAGAAATGGCATTTTGGGGTTGGCAGGTGGCGTGGTGGTTAAGGAGCTGGGCTCCCACATGGCCAGCTGCGGTTCAAATCCTGAACCTGGTGCCTTGCTTTCATACTTTCCCTCTCTAGTCTAATTAAAAATAAATAAATTTAAAAAGTGAAATCTTGAAAAATAATTGCATTTGCAAAGTTTTGGGAGTTGGGGTAGGAAAGTCATTTTAAAAGAGTACTAGTGGGGGGCCAGCAGTTAGCGTAATGGCTATGTCGCTGGACTCCCAAGTAGTCGACCGCAGTTCGCGTCCCGAACCCGGTGGTTTAAAACTCACGCTGGGCGTGTGTGTGTGCGTGCCCAAGATCCCGAGAGGAGAGTGGAGGAGAAGGGATTGCAGCGTGACCATCCCCCCTGGGGGGTGATTTCTCGCTTTATGTCTCTAAGTCTGTCTGTCTGGCGAGTGCATGTGCCCTATAGCGAAAACCTCTCCAAAAAAAAAAGTACTAGTCAGCTTGGGACACAGGGTTTGGACAGGAGTAGTGAGAAGGAATGGTCTTTGCCTTTTACTTGCTGTCACATGCTCTCTTTTGTCCTCTCTCTTCTCCCCCTCCCTTTTCTTCCCCCTTCCTTCCCTCTCTTCCTCCCCTCCCCGACATATAACATCTCATTCGATCAACATTCTGCAGTGCTCTTAGTCAAAGTATTTGGATGAGGAAACCTGAAGCCCTGGCCATGGTTCCCTAGCTAGCAAGTGTCTGTCCTGAGTCTGGTCATCATGCTGCTCGCCACTGAGGATTCCTGAGTGTGGGAAAGAAGCTGGGCTGAGCTTGGGGAGGTTGTAGAATTAATAGGGTGGCTGATCAAACCATCTAAGGCAAGATGGTGCGGGTGGTTGAGAGCATAGCCTTGAGCCAGATTGTTTGGGCTGAGTCCTAGCTTCATTACTTGCTAGCGGCATGACCCCAGGCATGCTAAGCCTCAGTCTCCTCACTTAGAACACGGGAGCAATAAAACCCACCTCGTGGGGTTGTTGTGAGGATCAACGAGGTGTACCAGGCACAGAGCAGTTGCTCACCACCTGGAAGCTGCTGTAATTAGCTCTCCCAGGTCTCTGGGCTGTGCACCTGCATCTCATTCTTCAGCACTTTACCACTGGGAACCGGTAGTTTCCAGGACTCAGCCCATCCTGGCTCGGCTTGTTTTATTAAAAGTGCCAAAAGGATGCTACCAGTAAATGTTTATTGAAAATCTACTGTGTGGGGAACCAGCAGTTAGTGTAATGGCTATGTTGCTGGATTCCACGTAGTTGACAATGGTTCGCGTCCCGGACCCGGTGGCTTAAAACTCACGCCGGGCGCATGTGCATGCGTGCCCAAGATCCCGAGAGGAGAATGGAGGAGAAGGGATTGTGGCATGACCATCCTCCCGGGGGGTGATTCCTTGCTTTCTGTCTCTATGTCTCTCTCTGTCTGTCTGGCGAGCACACGCACCCTATAGCGAACACCTCTCAAAAAAAAAAAAAAAAAAAAACCACCTTTGGGGCCGACCGGCCTGAGGACTTT